TTACTATATTGCTAATTTTTGCTCGATTCAATTTTCATTTATTTCTAATAATATTCTATCACACATTTTTTTTTTAGATTAATTATTTACACTCTATAAAATGATAAAGTCAAATTTTAATAATATTGAAAAATTATCAAATTTTTGAAGGTAACAAAATTATCGTGCGCTATTTTATTTTAAAAAAAAATACTTCAAGTTTTATTTAATTATTTATTTTTATTATAGGGTGGTAAGGGAACTTTAATCGGTTATGTACATCGATCAGAAGATAAATCGAGTACCGATTGGAGTTTTAGTATAGAAATTGGTACAGCAACAAGGACAAAATTTACTGCAACAATTGGTGGAATTCCAGCTGGAATAATTTCAGATCGATATGTATGCTTACAACCAGCTGGTGATGCAAATGCTGAGCAATGTAAATGGTTAAAGTAAGTTAAACATTAATGAAAAAAAAAAAATTAAATTTCAATCTATAGTTTAATAAAGAAAATTAAATTTTAATGCTCAAATTTAGGTTATAGTTGAATAATTTTAATAAAAATAGAAATGATATACCATTTTTTGGCTTTCTTTTTATTATCATATATACGTACATATTTATTCATTTTTGTTTCATCTCAAACATTTATATTTTTTCAGCTATTATTTTCTAACAAAAATATGCGCTTTTTGCACTAATTCAATAATGTCAATTTTTATTTCTTAACTTCAAAACTTACAAATCATTTAAATGAATTTGAGGTACGAAGCATTACCGTTACGAGAACGACACGTAGCACATCGTTGGCAGGCGGGAATTGGTAACTGTCCAGGATGCAATGAGCGTGGTATTGAGAATTTCTTGCTTAAACTTGATCCACGACAATGGCTTGATGGTTTAAATTCAACAACTGAAGCTGTCACATGTGCTTTAGAAATAGCGCTTATTATTGTAAGCATTTTAGCTACCGTACTAATATGTACAAAATGCATTATTCCATTAGTACGATGTACAATTTCATTAAGCAAACCACCAAATAAATAAATTTCCATTTAAATTAATTTAATTAATATTAACTTGATTAAACTTTAATTGACATTATGATGTCATGATAATTTTTAACATTTCGTTAAATGAATAATTTGGAAAAAATTTCCCTATTACAAATCTTTCATTAGATTGTGCCTTCATTGATTAATTGCAACAATTTTTTTGTGTTAATTAATAATTATAACAACTTTTTCCTATGTTAATTAATTAATGTTATCACATATCATCTCAATATTACTCAATTATTTCAAAATTTTATAAAAAGTCACACCTCAGTTTATTTATTTGCTCAAATGACATTTGACCATTAATTATTGTAATTTTTAATCGAGATTTTCATCAATAATTTGCATTAATTAATGATGCTTCCGGTGATATTATCGCGTTTGAATTAGCCAAAAATTTTTTGTAATTCGCTGCATTTTCCCAGTGTTAGTAATACATATAAACTTCATAGTATTGTATTTCATGACATTATTAAAGACTGTACCAATGCACCGTTCGTTACTGCTATGTTTTCAATAATATCATATTACTGTTAAAATTTTTGCAGCATTTCAGTAAAAATTTAACATTTGTAAAGCATTCAATTAAAAATTCATTAAAAATTCTATGTTGAAATTTTGCTCTTTCAGATAGACAAAATTTTTCCTTTTTTATATTTCAAAACTATAAATTAAATGCCCGTCTGAGAATCAAATCATTATTCAATTTGTATAAAACTTTGCTGTCTGCTCCAAAATTTTTATTTTTTTTTTTGCTATGCTTGGATTTAAAAAAAAAAACATTTTTATGTTACATGTAATGCACTTATCTCCTGAAAATACTGATATCATTAAAATAAAAAAAAAATAGATTAGCAAAGCAGTACTGACAAAGTGAAAATCAGAAATATAGACTATGAAGTAAAAAAGAAAAAGAAAATTTTAATTAAAGAGGAGTTATTTCTCTTCCTTTTTATTTCCATCATTTCCAATTAATTTCACACATTAACAACTATTTTTGATTATTAATGCATGCTATTTTGAATTCAAATTCAATTTATTGTATTCAATTAATTGTTGCAATTTATTTGCTTTTTACATTCGATGTTTATCGCTGTTTTTAAAGTTGAATGTTTTTTATCAGTTGTAATATTTTTATCATTCCTATTTAATTTTTCCAGTACAGGAGTATTTATAGCTGCTTTGCTGATTGCATTTCCTTTCCCTACTGGATCTTCCTAAAAAAATGAAATGAAAATAGTAAAAATTTTTTTTAAATCAAAAATATATTCGAAAAAGAATAAATGCTTTAAATTGGCTTACTAAAATTAGGTCATGAACATACACATATGTATTTGATAGTGTTATTAATAGTAAAATATTATCGGAAAAAATAATTTGCAAACAAATTTTTTTATTAATTGAAGTTTATTATTCATTAAATTTTTGTTTATTATTATTTTCATTTGATTTGAAAATATTCATGACTGATAAAATATTTGCTAATAGAACAAATTAATGAATGAAGAAGTAATGCGAATACATTACAAGTAAACATTTGTTTCATTCATTTCTTACTGTCGCTATTATTACTAATAGAAATTTTTGTCATAATTCTTAAAAGCATTATCGATTGTTTTTGCAATTTGCTAAATTTTAAACAAATGCATTTTTGAGCTTATTAAAATGTTATTTTAAAATATCCTTTTATTTAAAAAATTAATCAATACCAAATATTTTTCAACGTATGATGGTGCATCAGCAAAATATGAATTATCCAAAATAGGTGCTTGTTGATAGTAAGATCGTTTGCGCTTATATTTTTTTATTGTTAAAAAAGCCAAAATACAACGTACGATACAAATTGCAATAATTTCCAAAAGAATAAATGTAAGAGGTATTTGTATTATCTAAAACAAAAAAAAAAAAGCAGAGGTTAGGAATAATTTTAAATATTTAAAAATGCAATTTCTTAAAGCAATTTTCAACTTAACAAAATCTGTATCAAAAATATTTTCAAAATAAGTTGTAAAATTTAGCTTATGATTTTTGCTAAAGTAAAATTATTTATACCAAATGAAAATTTGTTGTTTTTAAAATGATATGTTTATGATAAACAAAAAAGAAAAGTTAAAATTTACAAAAGAGAATAAAAGTGTAATAATAAATTTGACTTGCAAAAAAATATTTTGAACATTTAGCTATCAAAATATGGTAATGGTTTTATTTTTGGCTACTTAATTAGTGTGCAAATTAATTAATCAAACAGAATATAAAGGATATAAAATAATAAACCCATTGTTCTATCATTTGTTTCTCCGTGATGCAGTACATTTTCGTTGGAGCAAATTAACAACCGTTCTTATGCGATAAAAATATTTTACTAAATAAAACTGACAAAAGTTCGATAATTTATGGACAATAATGAATATTATTTATAGTTTT